AGGGAATATGGGTTTAGAAAGCCCGATGGGTCTAGCTCAAACATGCATGGTGGGCCTAGCTCAGACATGTATGGCGGGCCCAGCTTATACATGTATGGCGGGCCCGACTTAGACATGCATGGCGGGCCCAGGTCGAGCATGTATGGCGGGCTCAGCTCAAATATGTATGGAGGGGTTGGTGGCAGTATGTGTCAACAAGAATCAAACATTGAAGAAATAGTTCCTAACTTATCTAGAAGTGCCAGTATTGCAGGTCATGGTCGTATAGACCCATTTCTCTCAAAGTCTAAGTCACAACATATGACCCTAAAATGCATGGTTAAAGGTACAAAAAACATGTTAGGGAGATATGTTGGTAAATGGTTCTACGATAAAGGGATTCCTTTTGATGCAACCAATAACCCATATTTTCCACCTATGGTTAGTACAATCCAGAGAGCAGGGCTCGAGGTAAAACCCCCGACAGCATATGAGCTCAGTGGGCCAATATTAGATGAAGAGGTGGAGGAAGTTACTAAGTGGATTGAAGAATATAAACAGAGTTGGCCAAGGACAAGCATTACTCTCATGAGTGATGATTGGTTGAATAAAGTTAGCAAAAAGGAGTTTTTAAACTTCTTGGCCTATTCTCCAAAAGGTACAGCTTTTTTATCTAGCAAAGGCGTATCAGGAACAAAGAAGGATGCAAACTTCTACGTACGACTATATGATCAGATAGTGGAGGAGGTAGGAGATAAGCATGTAGTCCAGTTTATTACGAACAATGCTCGTGCATGTGTTTCTGCGGGCAGCAAGTTAATGGATAAGAGGAAGCATCTAGTATAGACGCCGTGTGCTGCACACAGCATCGATCTTATGTTAGTGGAGATTGGTGAGATCAAAATTGTGAAGGAGACTCTAGATGAAGCAAGGTTGGTGTCGAGATTTATATACAACCACTTTAAAATATTATTTCTATTTAGAGAACACTCTAAGAAAAAAGAGATAATCAGGCCTGCCATAACCCGCTTTGCGACCGATTACTTAGCTGTGGACTCCATTCAGAAATCTGAAGGTGCATTAAAGAGATTGTTTACCTGTGAAGAGTGGTTAAATGACCGCTTTTCGAAGTCCAGTACCGGTATAAAAGTGGACGACATAGTCTCAAATAGGAGGTTCTGGTCTCGATGTTCCACTGTCGTAGAGGCCACTGCCCTTTTGATCACGGTGCTAAGAATGGTGGACGCTGACAAGAACGCTACCATAGGCATCCTTTATGAAGGTATTGAAAGAGCGAAATCAGCTATTGGGGAGAAGTGTAGTTTTGTTAGCAAAGTGATCGAGATTATAGAACAGAGGTGGAACACCAAATTTGGACGTCCAATTTATTATGCAGGTAAATATATATTTATATCATTAGAATGTTTCATTGTAAATTATTTTTTTATGAAATTTTAAATGACATTTCTCTATCGATATATTTTCCAGGTTACTTCTTCAACCCAAAATTTTTCTATTTGACACCTGAACATTCCCACAAGATTATGGAAGGGGTCAGATACATTGTTGCCAGGTTGGAGAGAAGCCATCGAAACCAGGCAACAACAATATAAGAGGTATTATTTAATGTTTGGGTAAGAACTTTATTGAGTTGTTACATTTGTGAGGAATAATTCACTAAAACAAAAAATATTTGTTTTAGCTTGCTATGTATAGGGATGCTATAGGATCCTTCGGAACTAGACTTGCTAGGAATTCTCGAACTAAGATGGATTCAGGTTATCCCCTAGCTAATATTTTGTTCATTCATATATTTAATCTTATGAATTGTTCTTGCCCTTACAATGCTTTTTACATTTTAATACAGCTGAATGGTGGGAGATATATGGTACTGATGTACCTCACCTAAAGAGGATAGCAATCAAGGTGCTCTCCCAGACATGTTCTGCTACTAGCTGTGAGCGCAACTGGAGTACTTTCCAATAGTTGTACACTACTAGGAGAAATCGACTCGCTTCGGATAAGCTTCATAAACTAGTCTACGTTCATTACAACTTAAACCTCCGAGAGCGACAAATAAGAAGGAAGCTTGAAGACTATGAGCCGATAGACTTAAACACAATATTTGTCACACAAACAGCAGACCAATGGGTAGTAGAAAAGGAGGAGCCAGTGTTGCACAAGAGAGCGCTCCTTGAGGCTATCGGTGCGGAAGAGCTTGAAGAAGGTGATGAGCAGCATGAAAGAGGAAGCAGTCAGTCAACGTATCCACAATTCGTCGGAGATGTTGGTGATATTGCACCTAATGAAGGAGAGTGGGAAGGGGGTCTAAGGGAAAATGAGAGAGATGATGATTCCGAGGCAACCCTATCCCAGCCATATTATTCACATATCGAGTCTCAACAGCAACATGGTAGGGATGAGCACGACAGTGTAGGTGAGCATGAAGGATGGACAAGCTTCGAGAATTTTGGATTGGAAATACAACAGAACACTCAGGGATTTGGATATAGTCAGACGCTTGCTAATATCGATGATTCGTTTTTAGATCGAATCAATGAATTGTCAAACGAATTCAATCAATGGCACCAGCGTAACAAAGAATAAGAACGACGTCGTCTGTCATTTTATGTTTAGATCATATGTTACTAATTGTATGCTTTATTGTAGTCCATGTATGTTGATATACTTATTCCATGATAATTCTATGTTTATCCTTTTGTGTGACTTAAATTAAATGGTAAATAGTAGTTCATGCAGGGAAAGAACATATCAATATTCGCATATTCATGCATAGAAATGAAAATTCTTAATGGGGTACCCTTATTTTTTATTGAATTCCTAAAAAATAATATTTATAATGAATTTTAATAATTTTTTCGAATTTTTTTGAAGCTTTAATCTGATCGATTCACCCGATTCCCAATCCGGATCGGTTTTTGAGGTGCCCGAGCAGAGTCACCGATCCGCTTTTTAAACCATTGGTTATAAGTAATTGTGACCTCCTTGTATTAAAGAGAAATGATCTCATCATATACAATTCCATAAATAAAAAGGGTCCAAAGGTTCTTATGGAGAGATATGCACTGCAATTTTCCTCGTAATTAGGGAAAAATGTGGAAATGCAGAACCATGCATCTCTCAAAATTTTCATGTTTTCGCCTATTCACAAACAAGGGAAAACGTAGTACCCGAAAAACAATAGATCAAATTTTCGTGTTCTATCGATTACCAAACAGGGCATAAATGTTTGATGTGCAGACCTCATATTTGTAAAATTTCAAAAGAGGAGAAATAAAGAGCAAAAGTTTCAAGTTCTTGATTTTTGTTGAAGAAAACGCAAGGAGTGGAGAGCCTCAATTGAGATCGTGGCAACAAGTCGTTGTTGCTGACCACCGATTTCACTGCCTTGATTCGCGTTGCAATCCTACCCCTCAAATATAGAAAAGCTTTTTAAAGGAGAGGATATGTAGCTTTTTCTTATTAAAATGGAAAACACTATGTGTCCAGCGTGACCACCTAAGAGACAAATTGAGGTCCACCTTAATTTGATTGCTTAGGACCTTGCCCTTATATAAATTTTATTGATAAAGGAAATGGCTTAATATTACAGTAAGGCGCACCTAAAAAACCCGTACAAAAAAGATTGCTCTTATAAAAATAATGCATTAAACGTGTATTATTTAGACCGTCTACTTTTACGATTTTTATGTCCTCGTAAGTTCAACGCCATTATTTCATTTTTTTGAAGTAGTTTTGAAGCCTCATACAAACCTCACTTATAAATAAAAGTTTGAGTAGGGCGGGCAAACGGCAGGGCATGGTCCGGGCCAACCCTGGCCCTAGCTCAGACTTATTCCCTTGAGGGCTGGCCCAGCCCTAGCACTCGCCTTATCAGGCCTAGGCCGGGCTGAGGCGGGTAAATTTAAAGGCAAACAATGCAAAAAAGATGAATAAATAAGGGTTGTATTGGGTCGAGGCTGTTTTGGCTTGGCCTAGTCCCAACCATCAAGCTACATTTTGTCTCCTAGGCCCTAGTTTTTTACCGCCGGATATCAGGTCGGGCGGGGCCACCGGCCCATTGCCACCCCTGTTTGAGACAAAAGAAAATGAAAACAAGGTATGGGTGACTGACTGTATTTTTGGGGAGCTGGATCATGTGTTACATATGGTATGGCGGACCACCTAATATACCACCCGCCACCTCTAACGGCTATTTCCTAAACCATGTTCTTCCCTCTCCACCTACAAAACAAACTCCTTAACCAACTCACCCATTGACTTGAACCCCTTTTTCTCAATCTCTGGACCAGCCTGCATCTCCCTCTTCAGGTTTCCTTTCTTCCACAAATACACACACTCTCTCTCTCTCTCTCTCTAAACAATGTAATTACACACCCACCTCTTCTCTCTCATCCATTTCCCTCTCTACCCTGTTTCTCTTGTTACCCATCTCTTTTCTTCTCTTTCTCTCTCTCCCCAGCCTCTTTATCTCTCTACCAATAGAGAAAAAATGGGGCAGGAAGAGCCAGGCACGAGCTCTACCCGCTGGGCGCTCGCGTGCAAAGTGGTTAGAGAAGAGATCGATAAATCGACAGACATCACGAGGGCAATACGAAGGGAAATGTCAGCTTCTTCACGCCAAAAGTCTTCGTTCACTGCTCGAATCAAATCAGAGGTCAAGAGACTCTCCACGTTTCGATCTCAGGAATCAATGAGGAGAGAGAATACCAATAATAAATCCACGTCGAGGATGGTTAGAACAAAATCGCGTGCAGAGAGAGGGCTTAGGAGCCTACGGTTTCTCGATAAAGCATCGGGGAACAAGGAAGGAGAGGGATGGAATGCAGTTCAGAAGCGGTTTAACCAATTTGCGGTGGAGGGCCGTGTCTCAAGAGACAATTTTGGGCAATGCATTGGTGAAACTCTCTCTCTCTCTCTCGCGAATGCTTTTCATTTTCGGGATGAATAACACCACATTGCAGTTTGTTGGTGATTCATACAGTGAGTCGTCAAAAACGTTACTACATTTTTTGTCTTTTTTCTTTTTTTTTTAAGGAATGGGGGATTCGAAGGAATTCGCATTACAGCTCCTTGATGCAATGGCAAGGAGTAGGGGATTAGATGTCGAGAATGGCTTATCAAAAGAGCAGCTTAAGGAGTTATGGGGAGAGATGGCTGATCAAAACTTTGATTCTAGACTTCAGATATTCTTTGACATGTAACAGACCTGCAGCTCTCTCTCTCTCCCACACACACACAAATACCAATGACAAAATTGTTGTATCTGCATGTCTTCAGGTGTGATAAGAATGGTGATGGCAAACTTTCAGAAGACGAAGTGGAGGAGGTCTGATTGATTAACCCTACAAACTTTAGAAACTCGAGATTTCCCATTTCTTTCATCAGTTTCCTTTGAAAAAAAACAGAAAAAACACAGTATTAGTAATGAATTCGTGTCTCCCTCTGAAGGTTATCGTGTTGAGTGCCTCTGCCAACAAGCTAGCCAAGATCAAGGAGCATGCGAAAACTTATGCTGCATTGATAATGGAAGAGCTCGATCCCGACGATTTAGGTTATATTGAGGTAAAGACATTCTCGCTCTTAGTACTAAGCAATTAGTGATTTATTCATGAAACAGCAACTCAAAATGAAATCATCAACCATCAATCATCAATTCATTGCAATAATTTTTTTTTTAGTATTTCAAACTTATTCAGTTCATAGTGGAAACAATGAATTGGGACTTTCACATGTTATTCATCTACTAATGAATGATTAAGAAGTGCAAAGATCACAACTGATAGTGCTCCAGTGTATATTATTCTGATTGCTTTTAGATGATTAAAGGATCAATCCTTTCTAACAAGTTGCATTTTCCCTATGCATTCCTTCTTAAATAAATCCCAAATTATTTGAGGGAACTGTATCATAGCCCAGTAGAAATTCTCCTGTAATCTGATTCACATTAGGAGCTTACCCACCATAACAAATCCGTCCGGCTCTTTGCACAGATATGGCAGCTCGAGACCTTACTACAAGGGATGGTGAAATCAAAAGGGCCCGAAGCCTTCTCAAAGAAGAGCCAAACTCTCACTAGGACAATGATCCCAATGAGATATCGAAACCCAGTGAACAGATATCTTGATTTGGCCAAAGACTTTGTCCATGAGAATTGGAAGAGGATATGGATCATTCTTCTTTGGATCATGGTAAATGTAGCTTTGTTCACATGGAAATTTTTACAATACAGGCAAAGATCAGCATTTCAAGTCATGGGGTACTGCGTGTGCACGGCCAAAGGGGCAGCAGAGACCTTGAAGCTCAACATGGCACTCATACTACTACCGGTTTGTCGAAACACCATCACAAGGCTACGATCGAGTTTTCTGAGCAAAGTTGTTCCCTTCGATGATAATATCAACTTTCACAAGGTGAGGCACGGCATACACAGCAGAATTAAATCATAAGGAGATTTTACCTTCTTAATTTGATAGCTTCCCTAATTTTGAGAAATCTCAGGAAATTTTTTAATGAGATTTTCAAGAGAAGAAAGCTTACACAGTGTCATGAGACCTTTCTTCATTTTTTCAAAAACTTTTCTCGGACTTTATTTTTTTCCCTTAGAGATGAGATAATAGAAAATTCAAGTTGAAAAATAGGGAGAGTACGATGAATCAGTGATCAAAATCCTGGACTCGGGCTCAGAGTCTCTAGTGTCCCTATCCTGAGTCCCCCAGCTTGCCTCCCAAGTAGTACCAGGGCTTTGTTTTTCTACAACAAAAATCAAGCAAAGAGGGAAGATTCATGGGTGATTCCGAGGTTTTCAGGGTCCCGATCCCGCTTTACTCGGCCTGGGAAGTTATTGACCACGAATGAACTATGCCATATGGTAATCCCATGCAATAGCTACCAACAATTCTAATAGAGCAAGGGCATTACGTATAAATTGGTGAAAACAGTTGTTAGGGTTTTGTGCTTTCTTGATAAGAAGGTCAAAACAGGGAAAATTTCCCATGAATCTGGAACAAAAAGAGACACAAAAGAACAAGATTTATAACTATCGCTCAAGTAAACAAAATTTCCTGCATAAAACAATGGTGATTTTCATTCATATATAAAAACAAAAAAAAAGGAAAGATACTTTTCTTACACCTCTCTTTCAATGGCAGACAATTGCATTTGGCATAGCAATCGCAGTCATAGTCCACTCAGTTATCCATCTTGGCTGCGACTTTCCCAGAATTGCGTCTTGCTCAAATGAAGCATTTTTGAGAACTCTAGGACCCGATTTCAATTACAAGCAACCCACTTTTCAGAGCCTAGTCTCCAGCTTCCCTGGTGTTAGTGGAATCATCATGATCTTTCTCATGTTGTTTTCATTTACGCTAGCAACACACAGCTTTAGAAGAAACGTTGTGAAATTGCCATGGCCGCTCCATCATTTGGCTGGGTTCAATGCCTTTTGGTACGCACACCACCTCCTGGCCATTGTCTACATTCTCCTCATCTGTCATGGCTTCTTCATGTACCTTACAAGAATCTGGTATAGGAAGACTGTAAGTATTTAAACCCCCTGATTTTAAGTGACAATAACAAATACTTGTGGAGAAGTACATCATAATCCAATGGACTAAAGAAGACCATAATCCCATGGAGTTGCAACCATCCAATGGTATGATGCTATCACCATCCAATGATGGCAATGCTCATTGTTAGAGTTGACAAACTAGAATTGCACCCAATGGTGGGGTCTCACTCTCTTTATAACTGTCCATCATTAGATTGGATGGAATTCTTTAGTCCATTGGTCTACATTATACTTTCCGAACATTTACTGCACCTAATATTGCTTTTAGTCCTACTCACTGGAAATTTCTCATATTTACAGACGTGGATGTACTTGACAGTTCCAGTTTTGTTCTACATTTGTGAGAGAATAACAAGATTTTTGAGAGAGAAACACTATCGAGTTAGCATCATCAAGGTACAAGAGCATTATGTCACAATATGATGCCAGACGAGTTCTCTTTAATTCAGTAGATTAATGTACTTGATCATCAAAAAATTTGCAGGCTGCAATATATCCAGGAAATGTATTGGCATTGCATATGAGTAAACCTCCGGGATTCAAATACAAGAGTGGAATGTACCTGTTTATAAAGTGCCCCCATGTCTCTCCTTTTGAATGGTAACACTTCTCTAAGCTCAGTTGAATGATATCTAATTCTAGGATGCCCCTTTGCAAAATCCTCAAATTCTCTCTCTAAAAGCATACTTTCCTAATTTCTTAAACCTCTTCTACTTGGTTACCTCTTTAATCAGTCTCTCTCGTTCTCTTACAGGCATCCCTTCTCCATTACCTCTGCACCAGGGGATGACTACTTGAGTGTCCACATCCGTACATTGGGGGATTGGACAACAGAGCTAAGAAAGCTATTTGCAAAGGTCTTTCAAATTTGTTGCCATTATGTCTAGTACTAAGAATTTTCAGATTGGGTTTGCTAAACTAAGCAGCGGTTTTTGTCCATTCAGGTCAGTCAAGAGGGACCAACCGTCGATAAGAGTAGCCTGGCTAGGCTCGAAACCACAGTATATGCTGATGCAGATGTTCCACAGTCAAGGTATAAATCCCATAAGTTACTTGTAAGGGGATTGAGGATATTTGTTATTGTCTTCACAAGCTCTTTCGGTTGCAGGTTTCCAAAGCTTCTCATTGATGGACCATATGGCGCCCCCGCTCAGAATTACAAGAAATATGACATACTTCTGCTTGTTGGACTGGGGATAGGCGCAACCCCAATGATCAGTATACTTAAGGACCTTCTCAACAATATCAAGTTCAATGAATTTTGCTCCATCAATAGTACTGATTCGAAACCTATGCATGAAACTCAGGCAATGGAAATCCATAGAAATAAGGGAAAGGGACCAAATAGGGCCTATTTCTATTGGGTCACAAGAGAACAAGGCTCTTTTGAATGGTTCAAAGGGGTCATGAATGAAATTGCAGAGTTTGATCATAATGTATGTTCACAATCAAACTGCTTCAACTCATTCCTTATTACTGTGACTCTCCCCTTGACTATCATCTGATATCTTTGATGATATCAACTATTGCAGAAAGTTATAGAAATGCACAACTACCTAACAAGCGTGTACGAAGAAGGAGATGCTCGATCAGCGCTAATTGCCATGGTTCAGTCTCTGCAACATGCTAAAAATGGTGTGGATATTGTCTCAGGAAGCAGGGTAAGTCCTTCGACACCAAGTTCCCTAATGAGTACACAAATTTTTCAATTTGTTCTACAACACATGGAAACTGAATCTATGAGATGTCAACTGGCAGATACGGACGCACTTTGCAAGACCCAACTGGAGAAAAGTGTTCACTGAACTAGCCAACATCCATAAAACATCTCGTATAGGTAAAACAAACAAGAAAAAGAAAAAAGAAAAAGAAAAGTGATATTTTAAGTATCTATCGCCTTGAGATTGAATTGGCGTTATCTGAATTTGTTATGGGAATTGCAGGCGTCTTCTACTGTGGAACACCCACGCTAACAAATACACTCAAGAAACTCTGTAAAGAATTCAGCCACAGCACCACCACCCGCTTCCAATTTCACAAAGAGAACTTCTAGCATACTGAGCTTTTTGTGTTTAAATTGTTAAAATGTATTTTTCAGGAATTATATTAGCCTTTATTTGAATTATATTAGCCTTTATTTTATTTTATTTGGAGTGACGTAGTAAGTGTTATTTGTAATTTTGCAATCTTATGTAATGGGAAGTTGTAGAACTAATAGGTGGTTGGTATTTTTTTTTTAAATAGGTAGTTATTGCTGTACAAAAGTAGTTGTTGTAAGTGGGTAGTTGTTGTCGTAATTTTAGTTGCAGGAACCTCTATTTCAAAGAAGAGGTGCATGGTGAGAAATGTGGTTATCTTTTATGTCAAGTGTAACACCTTGATGTACTCCATTTTCAGTTTTTGAATGCAACTTTCACCTCTTCTTGGTTCTTCTTCCTTTTTTTATTTGCTTGTGAGTCGTAGGCTACTGTGACATTGTTACACTAATTGAGAAGCGGATTGCTCCGGTGTTGTGGCATCCGTCATTCTCTAGATTTTGATGGATCTAAACTTCACCAAACCATTGTATATGATTTCTCATTTTCTTTCCTCTTTGTATATCCCTTCTTTATAGTGCATTTTCTCTTCCCAAAAACTGTAGCTCCACAAGATCAAAAAACTAATGTTGAGAATGTCTAATTATAGACAGAATGCTTGGTTTCTTTATTTCATGGAGCATCCACCTTGGTGCACTTTTCATGTGGTCATCCATTATTACACCCTCTTGAATCTGCTTTGTCTCAGTCTCTTTCCACAACTCATTATTAATATATCTAGTTAATTCCATTGGAGTCATATGTGGAGTTTTTGGTTGATTCTTTTCAAAATTTTCCCTGACCATCCATTTTTCTCTGTAAGAGTTTTTTGGATTTTGGAACCTTCCAGGTTCTAATGGGTTATCCTTCTATTGTACTTGACCATTTTTCTCGGCCTCCCTCTTCCTCTAGTTTTTGCATCACCTCTCAAGTTTCTTATTGCTCCATTCATTCTCTGATCCTCCTTTTCTTCTATATTCCAATTCATCTTCTATATTCCAATTCAACTTTCTGATGTTCAAGGAAGTGCAATTTTTAAGGCAAACCAACTACTTGAAAATTCTCAAAGGGAATTCCATATATGGGATCCCAATGTCAAGTGGTTGAAGAGCTTCCTGTAATTCATCCCAGCCGAGATCTTCGAAGTGGTCATCTTCATATATAACCCTGTACAAGTTTGTCTCTGAATCATATTTAACCACCTTGCCATGATAATACCTCGTTCCAAATATTTTCCTAACATCCCTGCCTGCCACCCATCTGCCAAAGCTTTTCTTACACCATGCCTCTGCATCAGTTGCAGAGTCAAGGTTTACATGAGAATTAATACTGAGGCTTTCAACTTCTGGCGCTTTATTTGCTATAGTTAGTTAATGGCAATCTGAAATGTGCATAGAAAGCTTAGTAATTACAGATTGCCCTACCAATGATGCATTAGACAAAGCGCACACTATCATGTAATTGTAACATATGATACAGGAAACATACAGTATAGTGCAATGGCCTATGAAAAAACTATGGTCCAAGGGGTCAGAGTCGTCAGACAGGCAATTTGAATGATGGAAAGAGGAGGAAGCAGGACCATTCTGTGTTGCTCTAATCGGTTCCCTTCTCTTCAACATTTTCCACCATTTCACCAAACAGTGGTTACCCTTTCGACTAGACTATGGTTCTTCATAGTCCATTTGGCTGCACCGAACTTCGCTTGATAAAATCCCTCTTGGAACTAATTTCAATGTTTGAACTTTGAAGAGTATTCTGCAATAGAAAGATGTCCAATGTCTAAATTCATAGGAAAAATAATGCCTCTTCTATCTAAGTTCATCAATACAACCAATGTCTAAATTCATAGAAAAAATAATGCCCCTTCTAACTAAGGTCATCAATACAACCATCGCATCATGAGTTTTGTTAAACTGTCCCAATTAATTCATTTAAAGTTAATCAATGAAACTGGCTGTACTACTTCTGGAAGTACTAAAAAAAACTATACAAAAGGATTTTTATTGATATCTCACGTTGAGTGATGCATTATTATAAAAGGAACCCATATGTACTAACATATATATACAAATATGTGTAGGGTTCTCGGGAACCTCTAGCTTGCGGAATCAGGAATCCCATCCAAAATCATGTACATGATTAACTAATGCGAAGTAGATGAATACAATTATAATCGAGTAAGAGAAATAAAGTAACAAAAAAAGGCACACCACACCCCATAGAGCTACTACATCCACGGCCTCGACAAGTAGAATCTACGATCACAATGAAGATTACAATTTTGAGTTACAAAAGATAATACATATCTCTAAACATCGGTAAAAAAACTATTATCGATCTTCCCTTCTAAACCCGCTCTCTCGACCGAGCAACACCGTCGACCAACCTCTTTCCCACCGCAATGCCGCTACCGGAAAGAAAACCTCGAGAGAAATATAGATATTTTCTCTCTCTAAAAGTGGAAGTTAACCAATCCAAAATTTATAGGAATATTACCCCTATCTCAGAGGTCATGTCTCTCTCTCTTGGAGTCTCATTTCCATATTGAATATCCATTCCCATAACCCCTAAAGGGGTGACCCTCAAAGGATGGGTATTAGGTCATCCTTCACACTCTTATACAGATATGACTTTTTTGCTTCCCAAAAAATCAATTTTTTATTTCCCATAATACTCTAATCTTTAGACGAAAATATGGGTATGGTAATTTAGCTATCACCAAACTCAACACAAAATGAGTGTTAATCTATGACATAAGAACACGGATACAAATATCCATGTTTGACTTGGATTCGAAGTATCCAACTCACATACCATATTTTGTCAAGGCTATACAATTCATATTTCTACATATATTTCCCTATACTTAAATGGTCACTTTTCATGAATAAGATTAGCTTGAAAAAGTTAAGACAAGGGGTTCAGAACAAAGACATGCATTTTCAAAACAAAAGAAACAGGTACCTACCCATGTTTTTTTTTAATTTATTTTTACGTAATTCAGTGGGGATGACGAGCACTACCTATTTTTTAAAATTATTATTGATTTTTTAATATATTAAGTGAAAATAAAAACCTAAACTTTAGATGAAGCACAAGTGGTACTACCACTACAACACCAACCCTAACCCCAACCCCAACCCCATTCTCGTCAGGCACATGCATTGTCTTACAAAAGGGCACAGGAAACTTATAACGCGGATAGAGAACAGTATCCAAATCTATGTCCATGTAGTAGACACGTGTCTGCAAATCAAATGATGAAAATTCTCAAAAGGAAATTTCCCGTGTCTTGCAAGTCAACATGCATCTAATATGTAAGAATATTGGATTCTCCGAAATACATGCGACAAACATTGCAGTGTTGGAGAGAAAATCCGTGGCATATCGTGCTGAAATACTTCCCCTTTTTTTTTTTTTTCTTACAGGTTTGCTCCGAAGATCGCACTGAGTCCAACGGTGGTGGTCTAATCAAAATTAGACAATTAGACACTTCTTTAAGTTCACCATATGTGATTTTCTTTCTTTCCGGTTACAAAAATTGTCATTTCTATAATATTGTCTTGCTAACTCGGAGATTCTGAAATATTGACTTGCCTATATTGAGATTTGAAAATATATGGCTTCTTAAAATGAGATACTTAAAATACCCGAGTATCTAAGGAATATTTAAGAAATCGTATAACCTTGAGTCTGAAACCTAAGGACCACACAAACCTTAGTGAACCTCTAGTCAACCTAGACTTAGTTTAACTGTCCCAAAATCATCCAAAACATATATTAACCTGTAGTAGACCCTGGGAGCTTTCTAACGATCTAAGAATCATTCAAAACGGAGGTGCCAGGACGCACAATGTGGCTAGTGTCGCACACCAATGCGCTAGGCACCGCACCTCGAGCTGTGAGACAGGCCGTGAGTCGCACAACCCGATAGCTTGGGGGCAGTGGGCACATTTCCCAAATTTTGTGGATTAATATGATTAAGTCTGTTCTACCCGATTATTTCATAAAAATATGAAAATCCAAAACTTTTTTACTAAATTTGGACTCTTAAATTGATCTATTTTCAATCATAACCCTAACTCAACCCATTGATGCCCCATTTAAAATCCTAGAACATCTGAAAAATCATAAAAAAATATATTACAAAAACGAGAGAAATACCTCATGGGAAAAAATCCTTAGAAATTAGTAGATAAATTTAAAAAAATAGGAAAAACCCTAAGATAATTCCCATAAAATTAGAAAATCCCCAACAATATTAGATAATCCCAAAACTCTTACTAGAAATTAGGAGACCCCAAATTCCTTAGAAAATTAGGGAAAACCATCTCCCAACCTTAGAAAAAATTAGGTAAACGTTACCTAAAGATCCTTAGCCCTTCCAAAAACCTTAAAAATCCGAAATCTAAGAAAAGGAGCAATAGATCCAGCAAATTCTAGCAAACAAAGGCATCCAAAACAGGATATGGTGGCACAAGAAGAGCTGCTCGTTATAAATTTTTTATAACAGGCTCTGATACCAAATTGACAATGCAGAATTTGGTATGCTAATATGCCTCGCCTGTTGCTTTTCTACCTGAAAACAAACCTTCTCACTCTCGGCTATCCGCCACCAAAACCAAAAGATCAAAACAACTTCCTCTTACATGACTTCCTTTTTTCAACAAAACATGATCTTTTAATGACACACTCTTAAGTGTTTTGCGAGTTATATAAAATAGGTTTTAGGATATAACTAAGAAGGACCTTATACAAATTTTAAACACGCAATTCATAACAGGAAAACTCCAATATTTTTTTTCTCAAGAAACTCTCTAGTACATAAGAAACTCATCAGTACATATAGACCTCATGGAGTATAAAGTGCCTAGGAATTGTCATATGAAAGCCCCAATATGCCTTAAAAGTCTCGGTTCGTTGATCAACTCACATATCTTGGCTAACGACTAATGATTGTAAAGGGTATCAAACCATCTCAATTCAAGATAAGCTCTGAGATATATATTTTTGAGACCATAATATACATCTCCACATGATATTGGAAGAGTTTGGATACAGTATGATACACCTTTAAACTCGTCGTCGGTCAAATATGTGCATCTTGGCTGATGTCCCGTCATAAAAGTGTATCAAGCCATCTCAATTCGATACAAATTCTGGAACATATATCCTCGAGGCCATAATATGCCTCTCCACACAATCTTGGAAGTTGAATACAGTATGATACACCTTCGAACCTATCATCGGTAAAATATGTATATTATGGCTAACGACTAGTCATAAAAGACTATCAAGCCATCTCAATTTGAGACAAGCTCTAAGTCATATTTCCTTATGCCACACTACACATATTCACAGAATATTGGAAGAGTCTAATATGGTACAATACATTTTTTAATCTGTCATTTGCTAAAGATGGGGTGTTTGACTGACATAGCGCAAGGAAACCTCATTATATACTTTGAGCTCTATCCTTGTAAATATATTCAATGAGACTTCATATGCCTTTAATCCAGGAATTATACAAATTGCACATCATTTGGCCTCATCAGCCATGGTTCATCAGCGATCAAGATATGCCTTGACTGACGATCCCGAACTTGATATTTTGGGGATTTGTTCAAAACAATTGGAAAATCATATTTAAGGCATCATTTCTCTCATCTCAAAGTTTCAAGTCATTTATAGATGGCTTAACCCATTATCTATATTTGTTGGCAACAAGATCTTTACGCATCGTCTGCAAGATAAATAGTCAAAATGACCTCCACTCACTAACTTTGCGATTTTTTTCAATTTATAAGGAGTTCTCTCATGGGACCTGGACCATGCCCTATCAGCCATGTAAGTGCGGTATGTTATCACACATATTTTTTTATTGTCTTTGTGTCTCCCTTAAAATACAAAAAATGCCAGTTTCTCTCTCTAAACTCAGGCAACTTTGGTGCAACGTAGACTTGTCTATATTGTGTAAAATTATACGAATATCGTTATCAACCTTTTTATTTACAGACATCTTGATGATTGATTTGTCAAGGTTGCCTTTTTGGATACTATTATTCTACAAGTAAGGAGGCAAATAACACTTTTGAGATAATGCATAGCATGGCTATACACAGAAAAGTCCCATTTATTTGTTTCATTGCTTTATTACTATAAGTTCCAGCACCCGGTTTACCCTACACCAAATTTCAACACGGGCCTATGCCGTGCTATGATGTGGGTTTCCACTCTCTCTTGTGTCTCTCTCTCTTAGGGGTATTTCACTAAAGTGCTTGGGTTGCCTTGCATCAGTTGGTAATGTGATCAGACGGCCATGATGGGATCTGCAATGCACACACTTTGTAGATGGACGGAGGGGGTTCAGTTCTGCCAAGACGTACTTTACATATGCATCTGTGCATGGGAGCACCAATTTGCATTAGTATAGCCTGCAGTGTGGTCGGAGTCGTCGACAATGTGCACTCACACCCATACTTGAATTTTTTTTCTTCATATTAACGCATTTCAATGGGGAGATGATCAATTTGAGGGCCCTCTAATGTCAAAATACTCTCTCCTAGAGAATTTTTTGTTATATTGTACTTCAATAAAATAAGAAAACAGTTTATACAAGGTTGAAACCTTTAAATGTAGAATTAAAATGCACTTCAAAAATCCATCACAAAATGTTATTTTGGTGTTAGAAACCCTATAATTGATCATCTCAACATCAAGATGCACTTATATATAAAGGAAAAAGATCGCAAATCTAAAAAATAGTGTATCACACAACACATTATCTGGACCATCCAATTTCAAGATTTCCATTTATAGATCTATTTAATTTGAACATTTTTTATAGTTTAAAATTTTACAATTATAGATCAAAATAGATTCACAAACCATCTTAAAAAAAAAAAATTTACACCAAAATTATATTTATAATAAAATTTAGAGGTCCCCTCAATTTGATTGTTTAAAGTTAGAAACCTTACGCAAACCAGTCCCTAATTTAAAGATGTAACTTTATAAATGTTCCCCAAAAATAGTAAAAAGTGTGGTCTACAAAAAAGGGCAATCTGGTCTGAGGTGTCGGCAAACCGTAGTTAGAACTCAGACTCTGCCCTTTATTGAACACCAAACCGTCCTATAAAGCACACTCACTCTATTATCAGTCCTATTCACGCTGCCAAACTAAACCTTGTTCTGTCATCAAGCAATGGCCATAAGTTTATTAGTTTCAGAGAGAGAAAGTACTTTCTCTCTCATGGTGCCAAAACCAAACTTTGTTCTGTTCTGTCATGAAAGAAAGGGCACACGTTTATAGAGAGAAAGTACTTTGGTGCAGATAGATTAGAGAGAGAGAGTACTACTCTTTCTCTCTCTCTCTGAACTGAACTGACTCAGAAAACAAAGGGAGTAGAGTTTCTCCCTCCTTTTTGTCTATCACATCAGATGATATTGACCGCTGAGGAAAGATAGATACACAGACACTTCTTTTCTGAAGGATATGAAAGCCGATTTCACAACACACTGCAAGTAAATACTACCTCCCAGACAACGATACCGCCATGTGAGCAGTTTCTCTTAACTTAAATTCATATTTTGCCCTTTGCATTCTTCTCTCTCCAATTTGTGCTTTTCTTTCATGCATATGTTCTTTGTGGTTATTCTACTGTGTTTGTGGTTATTCGACTCTTGGTTTCCTGTACTTTAACCACTATTTCATTTTGTCTTCACAATATTTGGCTCTCTCTCCGGCAATGATATATGTGATCTCTATCTTAATGGTTTGTGTCCTCTCTCACTATTTGTACTGTATTTCATGTGATATCTTCTGTTTCAGTTTCTACTGTATTTCATGTGACATCTCCTATCTCACAATATTGTGGGTGTTCTCACTGCGGGACAAGGAAAGACTCCAAATACATTCATATTATCCGCGCGAATAATGATATATCTTTTGATAAAATATATACAACTAGACAATTTATTTACTTTTGACACAAAAAAGTTACAATTGGATTAAATTTAAAATCGAGTGGTCAAAGATGTATCATTCATTGTTTAAGCATAAAGCAAAAATCGGGTGGCCGAGGATATGTCATTCATTGTTTAGGCATAAAGCCCGAAACAAAATTTTTCAAATGTTGTGGCGCATTTTCATCCGCTGTGTTCCACATCTATCGGTCTGAAGTGATTATGACATCATTGTAATAAAAATAAATAAATGATCTGATGAGAGTAATTCAAAGAAAGTACATAAACATTTTATTAGACGCTAGCAAGTTAGAGAAGAGTACATAGGGTATTTATAAGTTTGTTAAGGGTATTGACTCATGAGACTGAGAGCTTCTACTGAATCCCAAGACCCAGACCACAAGACCAAGGGAAGATTCTAAATCTAACTCCCATAAAACAACACCAACATATTCTAACCGTTGATTGACCCTAATTTGACAAACCACACTTTTCAAGAAGATGACGTGGACACATGGAGTGCCGTCGATCTCGGTTTCTCTTCCTTGATGCCCGTGCTTCTCACCGGGAAAAGATCAAGGGTCTCCAGAGCCCTGTAACGAGGTGCTGAGTCCATTTGGGCCGTTGGTGCTTCGACCTCAGGTTTAGGTAACATGCACATGAAACCGATGCTCCGGCATTGTTCCTATAATCCAACAAGAAATCCAAGGAATAAAATAAAATAAATAAAATGAGAAGGCATCATAAATGTTTTGTAAAGATAATATATCATCCAAAATAAGATATTTTAGGAATATATAACGGGAAAAGTTTTTATAAGATTGATTACTTTAAAATGTAGAATTAACGCACACCTCTAAAATCCTTCAAAAATGTTGTTTTGATATTTGAAAAATATCTAATTGATCATCTCAACGTCGAAATATATAGATAATAGAGAAATAAAAGAGATTTCAAGTCTTAAAAATAACGCATCTCGCAATGCATTATCTGGACCATTCATTTTGAAGATTTTCATATGTTTATAGATCTATTTGATTTTAACCATTTTTGGAGTTCAAAATTTTATAATTAGAGATAAAAGTAGATTCTCGCACCAACCTAAGAATTTTCAAAGACAAATTGCATTTAATAATATGGTTTGGAGGTGCACCTCATGTTGGTTGTTTGATGTTGGAACACCACACCCATTTTTTGTGCAGAAAAAAATCAAAATTGATAATCTATAATTCTATACAAGGAAAAGAAGAAGTAGCATTAACCACATATATCAAAAGAAGATAAATGAACATGATTTCAAAGTCCTCCATGCTCTCTATCTCTAAGGGGAACACACCTCATAGAACCTGGGTGGTATTTGAGTGAGAGAGAAGGAGGCAGCTTCATGTTGCGGCGTCGGCAGCTGCTGCTGTTGCTTAATCATCTTCCTTCTCAGCTTCTGCCTGTCTCTGGCCTTGTGATTCTGAAACCAATAAAACACATTCTTCCCCTCAATCTTCCCATAGTATGAGAGATGGGTTGTGATGTGCTGTATCTGCAAAGCATTCGGGGTGCGTATCCCCCCGCGATACATCTCCTCCAGTATCATCAGCTGCTCCGCCGTCGGGCACCATCTCGTCGACACCGCCTGAGGCATCTCCAATACCCCAAGAAAAGCTCTAGAGAGAGAGAGAGAGAAGCAACTATTGCAAAGAGGGAATGAATATAGTGAGAGAGCCCAAATTAGAGATATATATGTGTGTTTGTTTGGGGGAGAGATCGAAGGAAGGGAACAAGAAGAGGAGAGGATAATATGAAGAGGGGTGCAATAGGTGCTGGGTGACAGTGCTGCAATGTACAACAGGCGATATTAAATGGAATTCCAGGAGGTGTGTGTGATGTAGAGAGAGAAAGTGTGCATGATGTAGAGAGAGAAAGTGGAGATTTCTTAATGATAACCTCTTGATGGAGGAAGTGGAGATTTCTTAATGATAACCTCTTGATGGGGTGTTGTGGCATTCTGTGAATTATTGGCTGATGATGAAGGTATAATTCCAACTGCACTTTGGTTTTGGAGATTCCTGTTATCATATACTTACTGTTTGTTGTAGAGAGAGAGAGTCCTAGAGAGAGAGAACCCTAGAGAGAGTCCTAGAGAGAGAGAGAGAGAGAGAGAGTTAATGGCTACTTGTACTTGCAGAGGAGGGTGGTGGTCTTTTACCATTTACTTTTACAAATGGGGTGGGGTAAATGTTTTACAATTAAGGTACCGCCTTTTAGGTATCCTTTATTGTATTTTCATTGAATAAACAAAAAGATTGTAAAAGGAGAAAAGGAAAAGGAAGTATTGTTTCCAGTATGGGAGAGGAAAAAAAGAAATTATGATAGCTCAATTTTAAGTTCAATACCAGAAAATTGAGCTGAATTGAGAAATTTTGGGCTATTTTCCATTTTAAGGGATTATTCCTTTTCATTTTGAATTTGGGTTTGGATAACACACCCAAAAGGCAAGAAAGAACTAACATTGATACCCCACCAATGGGCTTACAAAGGCTAGTTGAATTCATTGATATGCCTTAGTACAAATTCAACCAATCAAACGGGAAGCTATGCCATCATATTTCTATCTCAAAATCTAGTAGCTTCGACTGCTCTATAATACCTATCTAAACTTACCTTTATTTAATGTGAAAGCGCTTTGTTGGGCAATGGGAAAGTTTGGTAGCTTTTTTATCAGTGCGGAAAAGCGCTTTCACGGAACATATGTTTCTCACAAAATTACGTGTGGTGTTGATGACACTTGTCTTGCTATCATAGTAATTATTGTTTTTCTACAAAACAAGCATGGAAAGTAGAGTCCACTTGGAAAGATCTTTTTCAAAACTTTCTCACTATGTTCACTCTAAAAGTGACAACTTAGGTGTTCTAACTTCATGTCTAAAAGGACCGAAAGAGAGGCCTACTTTTTTCTCTCTTTTTTTCTTTCTAAATAGAGGGGTCTTTTTTGCTCTGGGACTATACATTGTAAAGCCAATTATCTGTTGGAGCAATGAGGTGGTGGCCATTATATGTGAAGTCTATAGCTCGGAGTACTCTAAAGAGTTCAAAAAAAATTTCTTTTTCACTTTAAGCATAGTCAAAAGTTTTATACATACAGTTTGTACAAGTCCTGGGCCTTATGAAAAAAAGGAAGTAAAACCTCACCTTGGAATCTTGTTTGGAAAACACTATATGCATGAAAAGTCTTTAAGATGGATCTAAAATCTAATTCTATCATTGATTGTGAAATTTGCAGCTCAAAAAATTGTATAGATCTTGTAGATCTATGAACACTAGAAAATGTATGGTCTAGATAATGTGTTATTATATACACTATATTTAAGGTTTGAAATTCTAATATTTCTGCAATCATAATAATCAAGGTTGAGATGATCAATTTGAAAGTTTTTCAATTTTATAACTATAATTTTCAATGGGTTTTGAGGTAGGTTTTACGTTTTTTATAAAGCTTTGGCCTTAATTTAACTTTTTCCTTATTGTGAAGTCTTTTTAGATTGCATTGTTAATTTAATGTAATACACAATTTATTCAAGAATATTTAATGCAATACAAGTTTGTTAAAAAGTTTCTAGAGGGCTTGGAAGTGAAAAGTTAACGTTCCCAAAATAAAAATAAAAATATATAAAAAAAAAACAAAGAAAATGAAAAGCCTTGGATACATATGGCATTATTGCATTCAAAGGACATTGAAATTTGCTCGTTTTTCAGTAAAACACGGAAAGGAGGGTAGCAAGCGGTACCATAAATAGGGGGTGGTTTAGAGGCTCGGAATCTGTATTCGAGCCATGACTCGTCTCGTTTGGTGATTCCCTACTCTACCACTCTAGCTCCTAGCTATACATAGGGCGTAGACATCAAAATTAACCAACAGTTAATGATACATAATAATATTATTATTATTATTTTCATTTTTTTTGTTTTTTCTTTTTCTTTTTCTTTTTTGTTTTTTGTTTTTTTTTGAAATTTTTGTAATTTTTTTTTTTCCATGAACTTTTGTAATCTTATAAAAAAGGTGCAGTCTTAAACAATCCAATTAAGGGGCACCTTTAAATTTTATCACAAATATAATTTTGACATAAAAAATTCTCATGATGGTTAGATAATCTATTTTCATATCTAATTATAAATTTTTAAACTCTAAAAATGGTTCAAATCAAGCAAATCTAAAAATACATGAAAATCTTGAAAATAGACGGTCTAGACAATGGATTGCAACCTCCAAACAACCTTTTATGATGGATTTTTTGGTGCATATTTGATTCTACATTTTAAGGTTGCAACTTTATATAAACTTCTTCCATTATAAAAAAGATGAAGTTTCTATAAGGCTTAGGTTTTATAAAATAAAATAAAACCTCACCTCGAATCCTCATTCAGAAAGCACTTTCGGTCATGAAAATCTCCATGATGAATCTAAAATCAATTTTTAACACTGACAATAAAATTTGAAAACTCAAAAAATAGTACATATCTTGCAGATTTATGAACACTTATTTTTTAGGGTGAAATAGACAGTTTAAATAATATATTATAATATGCACTATTTTTAGAGCGTAAAATTCTAATTTTTTTACAATCATATTTTTCAAGTCAAGATGATTGATGTAAAAGTTTCCCAATAAGTAAATTGTAATTTTCGATGAATTATGAGTTGAGGCTTTAATTATTTTGATAGGGTTGCAGCCTTATCAAACCAATTTTTTTTAAAAAAAGTTTATATAACAGACCATTTATCTTGAAAAAATATACAATGAAACCATTCATCTTTAGTACAAGGTAGTCACAATTAATTTTGACCATTGAATGTGAAATTAGATGGCTACATTTTATTATGTTGACCAAGTTCAAACGTTAAAAGAAATTTTCTCGAATTTTTTGACACACCAAAGCTATCAGATTTCACATTGGATAGTGGTAAGTAATTGTGACCTCCTTGTATCAAAGGTAAATCGTCTCATTGTATAAAATCACATTTATCTTTGTTACAAGGAGGTCATAAAAACTCCTAACCATTAGATGTTAAATTTAATGATTTGGAATTAAATTTAATAGTTTGAGAATTTCTTTTCAACTTTAGTCAATTACACTCTAACAACCACCCGATTTAAAATTTAATAGATAAGAGCTTTTATGACCTTGTACCAAAAATAAATGGTTTCTTGGTATACTTTTTCGCTTATATACGATTGATATCTTATAGTGTATAATGAAGGTACACATCAAAAGTCCAGCGGAAATGGTTGTTTTGATGTTGGAAAATCATCTAATTGATCATCTTGAGGTCTAGATGTATAGATACAGAAAAAGAAAAAGTTTTCAAATCCTAAAAGTAAACTTGCAACTCATTAGTTGGACCATCCATTTTCAAGATTTTCATATGTTGGTTTGAACTATTCTTAAAGTTTAAAATTTTATAAGTAGAAATAACATTAGAATCTCAGTTTACCCTAAGAGTCTTTTACACCAAAATTATATCTTATGACAAAGTTTGGAGGTACGTCCTACAGTAATTGTTTGACGTATATAATAAAAGTTTACTCATATATCCCTTGTTCTTGTGAGAGTGTCCAAATTGCCGTAATTATTTGACGCATATAATGAAAATTTACTCATATATCCCTTGTTCTTGTGAGAGTGTCCAAATCAACAGTGCATGTTCCTGGATTCAAATCAATGGAAACGGAATCACATGTCGGCTTATAATCTAATTTTTCATCTCCATTTACGGATGGTATAGTGGAAGATCTAATTTTGGGGAAATTTTAAGGATTTTTGGATGTTCGGGTGTTTTGAGAAAAATTCTATTTCGATATTGAAAATATTTAAAAATATAAAATTAGTATTATCAACAAAAAGAAAAAGAAGTAAGATGGTTTGTAATTGTGGTTTAACGAGGTCACAAGCATTTTTGTCAAATTTTAGTATATAAAGGGACTATTTACTTTTAGTACAATGAGGTAACACACTCTTGTCAGATTTTAAATACCATGATTGTAAGTATGTCATTGACTAAACTCAAAGTTAAAAATAATTTCTCAAACTTCATAACGCACTCCAAGTCATTCAATTTGATATTTAATGGCTATAAGTAATTGTTACTTTCTTATCACAATGGTAAGTGGTCTTATAATACATAATCTCATTTCTCTGTTGTTGTAAATGTACGTATGTACGTTCGAGTTTTAGGAGCGCTATTCGTATTCATGTGCAAGGAATGCCCATGTGCATGAGCGGATCAATGTTTATCTTATTTGCTCCGGAGTGCCTTATGATTTAACAAAAAATCGAAACACTTCGATTTTCAGAATATTTGGGGAAAGTCCTTTGATGTGAAAAAAATAAAAAAATGTGTATTTGTATAAGGGAAAAGTTTATATAAGAGTGAAACTCTAAACAATTAAATTATAATTGCACCTCAAAAACTCACTAGAAGAGGTTGTTTCGATGCCCAAAAATCTTCAAATCAATTATCTCGACCTCAAGATGTATGGACATGAGAAAAGATACACTTCAATTCTTGAAAATAGTGTATCTTCTAATGCATTTTCTAGACAACCAATTTTAAAGATTTTCAAGTGTTCAGAGATCTCCTCTATCTAGACTATTTTTAAACCTTAAATTTTATAGTGAGAGAAAGCAGTTTTGTAGGCCATTACAAAGATTTTCAATACTAAATGAACATCTTTGATACTATTTGAAGGTGCATTGTACTTTGATCGTTTAGAGCTTCAACCTTATACAAACCATACCATTTTTATAATAATTGTATTTTTTCAAATTTTTATGTTTTATAGTTGTATTTATGTATATAGAGGGGATACATTTGAAAAATTTACAGTTTTTTTTTGTTTAATTGGGAGAGTGATTTGTTTAGCTTCTATTTAGAGCCTGAAGCCGAAGACTTTAGACCGTTTAGGGCAAGAGAAGAGAATCTAATAACATTCGTGTGGATTCGTTACCAAAAGAAGTTCCCAATAATTGTGCCAAGTATTATATTTTAGACAACAATATCAAAACACAGGCGCACTTTGACCGACGGACATTTAGTTATACGTTGTGGTTTTCATTCCCATTAAACTTTTAAAAACTAAAACGGATAAGAGCACTCATCCCCAATGAAT